GTATGTATGTGTGTTATGATGTCATGTTCTAAAATACTTTCTTTCCTTCTGCGGCCCCAGGTCTTAACAGAGCTCAAGTCAGACAACCAGAGGCTAAAGGATGAGAATGGGGCTCTCATTCGAGTCATCAGCAAACTGTCCAAATGAAAAGATGTCTGAAGCTCCTGTTCTGTGTCTGTGGACGCTCCGACCCTGATGGCAGTTTAATCATCCACGGTGTCTCGAGCTGTCTCTCTGAGCTACGAACGATGGCTGCTTTGCAGAAATAAATTCCTGTTGGGACTTGTAAAGGTCCAAAGAGAAGTGTTAAAGAGTTTCAGTCAAATTTCACATTCACCAAATAGGGACCAGTTGTGCTGTTTGAATAACCTGTTAACGCACAGTTCAAACAAAACCATGGGTTTGCATGAAGGTACTATTTCTAATATTATAACCACACGTTTGTTGCTACATCGCCCACTGCAAAAAAGTATTTTAGTGTTGTCTTAATTGTGAAAGAGGAGAGAAGTCAAGGGCCCCAAAGGCCACTTTGGCATGGATATATGATTGTTCAATATATGAGCACAAAGGTAATATGAGGCCAAACCAAACAGGTGCTCCGGTTCCAGAAGCAAAAAACTACATATTAGTATGAATCCAGCAGGGCATCTGAGTAGTAAGATATTCTAATGGATATTTGCATCAGACTAAAAATGTGTTTTGTATAACATTTTTATCTAAGATGTTATATGAAGGAAATTTTCAAAATGTTTACGCTATGACAAAGATGTTAGGGCTTAATAAGATGCATACTTTGGTGTGTTTTTTGCCTTGATTGACAACTTTCTCAGGTCTGTCACCCAGCTGTACCTGCTCACCACACAACGCCTCTTAAATTAGGATTTCGTAACTTTAACTTCTGTAAACTGTTGACCCAAAACTTCCCTTTAGCAAAGCATTTCCAACTGGGTTGATATGGTTTTCTTGACATTTCAGTCAAAAAATTAACTTTTATGATAATGTCCCCATGTATTTGATCCGGTCGACCGACCGTATGTTATGTCTTTCTTCACTGGTTTTAGTTTCCATGATAACGTAATTTCACGTTTGCCAAATTCTGTTCATCGGTTCTTTGTGTGTTTTCAGTAGCCATTCTAATTTCTTTTTTTTTGTCCTTTTGCTTCAAAACAGCAGAATGGTGTTTAAGTGTGTGTGAAAGAAAGTGTCCTTTCTTCTGTAATAGAGATATATTTATTTATTTATGCGTTTCTTCGTTCTAATCTTTGTTTACTGGATTTGTGTATGAGGAATACACCAATTTTCCTTGGTCGTCTCCTTGGCCATCTTTCTGTTAGGTGAGGAAAAAACGCAAATGCCCAAATCTTCCACAATATTGTTTGATTAATAATGAATAAATATTGAGCACAATACAAGGTTCTGAGGAATAAACTTGTCCTTACATGTGGTGTAGAATTACATAGATTCTAACTTGTTGTGTTTTGATATTGTCACGATAGATTAAGTTAAATTGAATTAATTATTGCCCAAAGGCAGTTGCCAGCTTATTACTGTAGGTATACCTGGCTACATCTAATGCGAACCCATACTACAGCCCTGCAATGAATTCCATCTTTTTTGTTCTGGTCATCTGGCCATTGAGGCCATAATTAAAGGTGCTACTGCATTGTGTTGCAAACAAAAAATGTAAAATGTTAACTAGTCAGTCTACTTAATGAGAAGTACAAATAAAACCATGAAAGAGGCTGCTGCCTTGAGTGCAATCACCTTCACTTTATTCATAAAGAGGTTACATCATTCCTGGTTCAAAACAGTGTGGTTTTTATCATATTTAATGTATAAAACTGCCAGACTCAGATTGTATTAAGATTCCTTTAGCTGTAGAGTTGCTAGCGGTGATGAATAGTGTGCCAGAGACATAAATGATTTTGGTATCTGTCTTCTCTTCACTTTAATCAACGAGTTGACGTAGTCCCATATAAGTCCCCAGTGTTTGATGTATTCCTTTAATAACAGTGTGATGGTTTCGGGGTCCGACCAGGGCCACATGCAGTAACACCAGTGTTATCTTTGATCACATCCAGTAATTTACTCAAAACTACAAATGAGGCACAACAATTTCCACACATGCTGTCGATATATTGAACTATGCAGCATCTTGTATTGAAAATGTTTGTAATGTGTTGATGATTACATAATACACGCACATCGGTTTACTCACTTTGCTTAATAAACTGTAAAGGAACGGAGATGTTTCTCAGTGTGACGTTAATGTATCATCATCATTAGCATATCATAGCATCGGAGGCAGAGAGATCATTAGGGAACACTTTGCTTATTGAACACAAACAAATCATGGTAATTAAAAGGCCTTTATTTCCTATTTGTTTTTTTACAGAACTGGTAACACATATGATAAATTTGTAATAAGTTATTTGGTTCCCTTGATAACTTTATAAGGATCCCCAACGTTTGTCCACATAAGGGTCAAGAGGAGTTTGTGAGCAACGTTTGTGTCCAGTCAAGGGCTAAAGCATGCGATCCACAGTAGGCACAAGTACTGACATGAACACGCGCACCACGACACTAGACACGAAGAAACACAGCTAGAGGACACATCCTGACTGTCCTCCGACTCTTTAAAAGATGAAGAGAAAGCGGGGAGAAAAAAAAGAAGAAAAAGAGTCTTGAGAATACAGTTGCATCAGGGGATGAGAGGAGGAGGACGAAGCGCTCAAGAGGAGAGTTTGGTACGGTCCTGCATGTTTGGCAGTATACGGTATATCCATGTAAACATGAAGGCCGGCATTCTTTACGCTCATCAAAAGCAGATTCAGAGGAGAAATCGACGAGCCTGCTTCCTATTCAGCATAATGATACTGATGGGACGTAGCTGGTTACACATAAACAGGACAAAGACGCAAACAAAAAGCAAACGTGATTCTGGCATCGATTCAAACACAGTTCTACATTCTATATTAGAAGTATACATCACGAAAAAACAAATAAAGACAGAAGGAGTGATTACACATATGCACAAGAATACACAGAAGAAATACAGCCAGTAATAGAGGAGACAAGACAACATGTTTCAAAGTGGTGTCTTTACCCGCTGAGAGGCGTCTCAACACATTTTCGACAGGGTGGTGAATGATCTACTGAACTTTGGATGTTTTCCCTTTTTAAATCCCAGCGTTTGTTAGAGAGACAAAACAAAACAAAAAAAGCTAGTTCTGTGAACGGTGCTCTAGAACTGCGTCTGCACAGCTGAAACAGCTCACAGTCTCAGCTGCAGTTGTGCATAAGGTATTGTACATCAACACAGCTAGGAACAACCCCCATATTTCAAATAGAACTAAGATTGTTTGAGTATTACGGTCATACACACAAAGATGGACATTTAAGAATGAGTAATGTGTCCCGTGCATGCAGACCTGTACTGTATCTGGTATTTATTTTTTTCCAGTGCTGTGTTATTTGCACCACGTCTGCTAAAGGGTCTACACTTCGTCTACTTATCCCACAAACACACACAGCTCCCAGTCTCTGTCCCCCATAGAACTTGGATGTGATGTGACTGCAGTGACCCGAGCAGTAAAAAGGGAACAAATCTCTTTAAATGTGCTATAAATTGACCTGTAATCACATTTGCCTCATCATCCGATGTGTTCCGCTGGCCTCCGTGTGAATTGTTATTTTGGCTTTGTAGACTCACACGGCGTCGACGAACGCAGGCAACTGTAAGCAGGTGCTGGCAGTACTTTGTAAAACACACTGAAATCTTGTATTTGAATTGTTTTCAGTGCATCTTTTGGTCACAATCAGTAACAAATATGGGACAGTGAATAACTATAATATTGCTTTTAGACAATGTGCAGCGTTGCACATCACATTGAAGATTGTTGCCAGGATTGGTAGATGGCAGGTGGACGTTTACTTCAGAAAAAATTCAACGACTGAGGTAAACTTAAAGGTAGTTCAACATTTTGGGAAAAAAAGGCCTATTCGCAAATAAGATCATTTCCCAAAACTTGGAACTACTACTTCTTCGTGAAAATCATAAATCTATGCATAGTTCTATGGGAGGGATTTAGGCCTAAAACTTGGGTGCCAGTTTTAAGTTTCTCTCTTTTTTGCTTTGCGATTGTTGGATCTCTATCTACTTTGTTTTGTTGCTTGAGCAATATGCTAAACAAACCAACAGAAAAGCGTCAGCGTGATCACCAGCAGTGTGTTATTGATTGTAGATGTGGTCACTAGTACAGCCTGCTGTTAAACCATAAGAAGAGAAACTTGACTCGGGACCCAGTTTGGTTCATAAATTGCACTCAGCCCAAGAAAAGAATACACACACTCTCTCTCTCTATCTCTCTCTGTATATATATATATATATATATATATATACATATACTTTAACTTTAACAGTATTATTGAGAACCTATTGTGATTTTATATATATTATTTATACTATCAAAACAAGGCATATACGTTACTAATCACAATACTGTAAATTCAGCTACCTCTATGAAACAAGGACGTTAACAGCTTGGAAGGTAGAAAAAGACACACTCGCTCTATTAAACTCACAACTGTTCTCAAAGCTCACATATACAGAAAAGTGGGTTTTGCCCTCTTGGTGAACAAAGACCTCTGAACGGAATGTAAAAGAGAAACACTGGCCAAGGAAAATGAAGACATGTCAAGATTTTTTTTTTCTTCATAAATAAACTAGCTACTCAGCGTTAGTGCTTGAGTTTTATGGCTTTAGTTTTGTCTTATTCATTTGTCTTGTATACACGTACACGTATTGTATAATAAACACAGTAAAAGAGACACAGCCGTGAAGGGTTTCAGGTCATTTAAATACTGTAGAAGTGAAAAATAAAAACGTCCAAGTAAAGAAAGAGAGAAGAAGGGATTCCAAGTCATTTGTGTCCACTGGAAAGGGATATTTCATTTTTTAGCCTCTGGAAATTCATTTCATACAATGATATGATCCAACAGACTTCACTAATGGCACAAATAACGACTCCTACAATCCACCAACAGATCGCAGAAATATTCAATCTTCCTCTAACAAATTATTCCAGAGCAACACCGTGCTAAATGTGTTAGAAAAAAAGTCGTATTATAGACTTGGAAACCCCCTCCCCCCCATCCCAAACATAAAAAAATGTAAAACATATTACTGTTTAAAAAAAAAAAAGCAATAGCAATACAATTCTGAAATAAGTCAAACATTGGCCTTCAGATAAGTGCTGAAACAACATGGCAGATAAATGGCATCAAATCAAAGTTTTGATCACAAGGAAGTATATAGCAAGCATTTTCATCCTACATGAACTCACACACAGTACTGGACGACACACTTGCTAAAGATTTTTAGGCGTGGAAAGGTTCGTATTAGTAATAGTACTCTAATATTTGAATGAGATTCTCTCCAATGACCCTCATGGAAAATAAATACACATTTGTTTCATTTAGAAAATATACAGTGCGTCTTTTTTTTCCCCTTCGTTTGTGTTATTAAAATGACAAATGACACCCATTTACGTACACGAGATATTTTTGCTTCGTCTCTAAAACATGCTTCTATGTACAGTATTTTGTATAACCATGCAGTATCAACGTGTATGAACTATGTATATAGGCAAAACTACACACCAATGGGTTGCTTGATTGCTTCCATGTTGCCTTTTCTTTAGTGCTGCTTCATCAACAGAGGAAAAAAGATTACGTGAGAAGAAAAACTGAAAAATCTGAACATGGTCTATGTTGGTTATAAAAAAATAAAAATTCACAATTTCCAACAGAGAAAGATACAAGAGCCAGCATTCATTAAATTCCAAAAACGTTGTAGTACTGTCTACATTTGATTTAAATTGACTTTGCATTTTCTTGCACACACTCAATGAGTAGATTTTGCTGTTGGAGCTCACGGACAGCACTGATTTAAATGAAGAACTGAACCGGCAAGCAGGTGTACCTGGGCCCAAGCACCCAACTCATATCAGGATTATAAATAGCAAATACGAACTCACCAATTTATTCAGGGTTGATGAGTTTGGGTCAAACAACAGTTTGGATTTTGTCAGAAGTAAAAGTTCATGATTCCTCTTCAACAGATTCACAAATACACTGAGCCAATGACATTGTGTGAAGGAGACCAGGAGCATTAGATCGTAATGTGTCCCTTTACTTTTCAGAGGAGTCCGTTTGTATGAGGAGAGCTTTCCTGCATGCCACGTGTGCCACAGAACAATTCAATCTCACAACATTTTATAAGTAATGAAAAAAATCTACACGGATCGAAGAACAGTGTCAAATTACCACAGAACAGAATAATACCCAGTAGTGCAATTAAATTCAACAGTTTGGTAAGCTGTGTATAAAGTACACACGGATCAGTGCCTTCTTCCAGCCCATATCCTTGCAATCAAGTGAGAATCGTAATATTCAAACAATCAAAACACATACACAAAAAGCTGAGCCAAAACAAAGCAACAGCAACAAAACAACTGCTTACATAATGCTCCCCCCTGCTTTTTTTTCTTCTCTTTCTTAAAACCAGCAGTTATAAATAACATAAACAATTAAAGCTCTGGTTTCTGAGGGTACTTAAACATAACATTTGGATTTAAAGTGCACGAGGAATAAAAGTATTTGAAGTTAAATAAAATACAGCTGGATAAATAAAAGGAGAGAGAGAGAGATAGAAAAAGTAAAGAAATGAAGAGAACAACACCGCTTACTGGAAGGCGTCCCTGGTAGTTGAAAATTGCTTATTTTGTTACTTTGAAGGCTTGTCTCCTTTATGACTGTAAGACGGTTATAGGGATTCCTTTGGAGTAAAACCCTTGTATCAAGTCCATGACTAATGGCAGTAGCACAAGTGAGATACAGAATCAGAGGCGTTGGGAGGGGAGGTGGTAGACTGCAGGCAGTAATCGACACCTTGTAAATATCATGTCATTGGTTGGAATCAGTCTCTGTTGTAACCGCTCTGATATTTCCTTGCTTTTTCTTGTTCAAATGACAGACACATCGCCTTTTTGCCAATATCAAAAAATACGTAAATACCCCCCCCCTTTTTCTTTTTTTTTAACCAAAAATGCACCACTCCCTGTTCCCTAATGTACCATTTCATGGATAAACTAACACCAGTCGCGAGCCTTATGTTACCGAAAAAAAAGAAAAACAAGCGCTCAAACTTTTGAATCCAACGTTTCATTCTCATCATGTGGAGTATTTGAATAATAACAACCCGTTTAGAAAAAAAGGCATGGAGTTTCAGTTTCCTCTCAGTTTTCCTGAGACGATGGGCGGAAGGTTAACTAATCAAAAAGGCAGTGTGTTTGTGGGTAACTGGACATGTGCCTATCCCTACTTGCTACCCAACTCTAGGAATGTACTTCAAACTAACAGAATCATCTAGTATGACAACTGGCAGGTGTGAAACATGGTGCACAATACACCTACGGAATGGACCTGCTTGTGTTATTTCTCTATCATATGGCAGTATAAAGCATTTTATTATTAAGCACTATTCTAAGCAAACCGTGTCACTAAAGGGAAGGGGTGAGAAGTACAATGTGAGAGAATGTATGTTTTATCCCCTCTATCACCAGATTCCCATATAGCACTCTTACTGGTCTTTGTAGTCTACTCTGTATTCTTATTAATGGAACCACAACCCCAATACAAAAATAGATCTAAAGGAAATCAACGGAGTATCTGTCCATCCTGTAACTTGTCTTCTTTTTTCAATGACATGATTTCATATAACATGATGCTTTTTTTAAACTATATTTCCCATCATGTTCAGTGATATCGATGGATCTTTTGAAAGGAGAGAGGAGGAGGGGGGTTGGGTGGGGGGGAGGGTCAGAGGGAGCAGATGTACAGTTGGGGTGTTCTTCTGGAATATACACTGATATGTGGGACCTGGGGACATGATGGGAAATGCATGGGTGGGTAAGGTGGAAGTGGGGACGATGCGTTCAGGGGTGGGTCGGGGAGTTTACTTCTTGGCATTCAGCGCTGCGAGGGCGGCATCCACCTCCTCCTCTGGCTGCAGCGGATGCCACTGGGCGATGGGGCGACGGGGGTTCGCCAGCATGTCGGACCAGTGTTTCAGCCCGGCCCCCGTGCTCTTGCTTCCCACCAAGATCTTCCCAATGGCATCGTTCTTGCCAATCTTGTCATAATCCAGCACTGTGATCACAGCTAGGATTTTCTGGGAGAGAAAGCATCACAACAAGGTTCAGAACGCCACGGTGATTACACGGACATGAGGGCTGGAAAGAATTTTACTCAAATACTTATAAAAGTATTTCAGTTGATGGCGCAGCATGCCCAGTGTTTGGGCGTGCAGTGATCCTATTGTGGAGGCTGGTACCAGCAGGGGCTCTGGTTGGGTGTTCAGTGTCTTGCTTATTTCTATCTTCATAAATATTGCAGATTAGATTGTTTCTGCGTTTCATATTGTAAAAATACATTTACTACCATTTTTTGATAAAATGTGTTTTTTGCATGTTTGATGCTGATTTGTATGCCACATCAACAATGTAGAAAATCAATTAGCAAAGCATTCTCCAAAGAAATGACAGTACTTCTTGCTTGGTAAATTAACTTGGATTTAAACAGCGCCTTTCTAGTCTTCCGACCACTACATGCCAATATTCACCCATTCACACATATATTCATACACTGATGGCAAAGGCTGCTCAACAGGATCTAATCAGATCATGATGGTTAAGCCTTCAGGAGCAATTTGGGGTTCAGTATCTTCGACATGTGGAGTCGGGGATCGAACCGCCGACATTCCGATGATTGGATGACCCGCTGTACCTTGCTCAGGTCTGAGCTGAGGCTAATTGGCTGAGGTCTGAGCCAGGTAACCACAGCATATATATATATATATACTGTATGCATGGCCATGAACAGAAAGTCTCAAGGTTCCAGCAACAGTTTAACGTAAAAAAAAATACACTTATGTGCTTTCTTGCTGAGAGTTAGATGAGAAGATTGATATTATATATTGTTTCTTTCATGTGTACAAAAAACACCGAGTGAAAAAACAACAAGGTTTTGCGCTAGTTGGACGATAGCAGAGACTTCCTGGAGTTTCTACTGGTTCAAGACTTCATGCTAAGCTAAACTGGCTTCTGGCTATAGCCTTATATTTACCGGACAGATGGACATGAGTGTGGCACAGATCTTCTGATGATCGAACTCTCGAGCAAGAAAGCAAATAAGCTTAATTCCCAAAGCGTCAAATTACTGTGAAATGTGGTGAAAATAGCAGAAGTAGAGAAGAGTCATGAAGCCAGCAAACTGTCTCAGTTGTGTTAGTTAAACAGCGATATCTTTCTCAAATCTGCTAACATACTCGCTCCTGGTCATAACAGACCAAATGAGGCTGTAGCAGCAAAACTCAAAGAGTGTAGTTAACTGAGCATTTTACTGCTTATGAATTCCCAAATCTACCAATTAAAAGATGATGAAGTGACAAAACGATAGAAATTGGTTGCATATACAGGTGTGTTCCCATCCCCAGCTTTATCTTAAAGAAACCGCCTGTGGTGCGTAAGGGTATTATTTGTGTCCATATAATTGCCGGATGATAGATTACTTGGTAGGGCTCAGATCTGGATCTGGGTATACAATTGCCTTTTTACAGTGATTAGTAAAAACTATTTTTGCCTGTAAAAAGGGCTTTTTTACACCAGTGCTTCCTTCAGAATGTAGTCTTTCCACCCCTGCTAGCTCCTAAATGATGTTACCAAGGTAGTCCATGTCCTTACCTGCATTTGGTCAATAGGAATCTCAAAGCTGAAGGACTCATTGTAATACGGATTCAAAGTGTTCTTCTTCACTGTCGTCTTCTTCTTCTTCAGCCTCTTTCCATTTTGCAGCAAGTTAATTTTCACGTAGGGATCTGAAAAAGAAAAGAAAGAAAGAAGGCAAGAAATCGTGATGAAGCAGATAAAAGAAACAGCCTAGCACATGCACCTTTGGGTTGCAGTGCTGCAATGCACCAACAGATGGGGCCAATGCTGAAGCCAAGGGGGAGCGAGAGCTGGTGCATGGCAAGCACTGCAGCGTCAGCACGTGAGCTGAGCAGGAACGACCTAACTCACAGGCACGTTCCTGTATTCACTGCAGTCCCACTGCACGCATCCAAATGTCACATTAAGCTGATGTGTTGTTGTCAAATTGTGCACGCTGAAACAGTGTCAAGTGCGATGGCGTGATAATGAAATGCAGTATCTGATGCTCGGCTCTGTGTGTTTACCTGACAGTCCTCCCACGTCCATTTTCTTCAGGTTCTTGGCCTCGAGAATGCAGATGGTAAGTTTGCCAGCAGTCGGGACGTAACGCAGAGAGATGCAAATGTCACCCAGCTTCTCCGGCTGTTAGGCGGAGGGAGGGATGGGGAGAGAAAGTTAAAGATGGTCTGACGCAGAATTGATGTCTTCTCTCTGATGTACAATACACTGCACAAGTACACAGTACACTGCACAAATACACAAACTGTCCCTTTGGAATCACATTTTAAAGACACATCGTCAATACAAATAATAAACGTTTGTCTTGTCAGCAGAAATTATTGGTATCCTTAAGTACATCTCGTTGGCCTTTTCAAGGTAAATAAATGCATCCGAGACCGTAAGCAACTGAGTGATTATTTCATCTTAAGGTGGCTCTGGGGACTTTCCATTGATTAAAACCTGTTTTTCATATTCTGGTGCAGCATAATGGTGAATTCACATTACAGGCTGCATGGCTACAGAGGAGGCAGTTGATTAGAAAAAAAAAGAGTGTCCTTCAGCCCTGTGAATCTCATTGGTAAACAGACAAAGTGGCCCCCTTGTGCCCGAGGGTATTTTTGTATTACGTCATCAGCTGAGTTGGCTGTTCATGCTGCTCTATATGAAGAAATGTGTTTCAGTAGTTTAAAACGTCTTTTACAGTTGGCAAAGACAATTATAAGACTTCTATCGGCTGCTATTAGATACTATTGTCACTATTTACACATCAAGCAGTTGCAGAGCAACATTAGCATTCATTTGGAGTCTTGTTGATGGCCATCTGGTGAATGTAAGTCATAGTCACTCTCTTTTGATCTCCATCAACTCCTGAGGAAAATCTGGATCCCAATTAGCTGTTAAATAATCGATTATGTTCGCCAGCTAGTGGCTATCTGTCTGCTGTTTGGTGCTGCTGAGCAGGAAGTATACAGTCATTTATTTAGAGCTTGTTTGTTTTGATGAAAACAGCTGCCTGCTGAGGCTGAAATAAAAAACGCTGTAAGAGCAGAGACAGTGAACCAAACAAGCAAATTTGTCGGCCAAACAGCTAAATAATGAGCCTAAAGTCATTATAAAGCTCCGTAAAGTAGAGCGGTGCTGCAGATTCAGGTGATAACTCATCACTAGGCGCGTCCCCTTCTACATTGTAAAACTATAAATTATAAGCTTGTCGATATTGGTATTGGCCTCAACTAGTAAAACAGGCATCTCTCCGACATCAGTGGAAGTAATGGACTTAAACGGCAGCGTGCTAAAAGTAACACAAAACACAGCACGACTCTTACCTCTTCTTGGTCTGCGCTGTCCAGGTCTCTCCACTCCTCAATTGGCTTTGCCAGGTCAAGGGTGTTCATGGGTATTTTAATCTCTCCGATGACATCATGTTTAGAGAAGCGATCGAAGTCATAGACTGACATGACCAGAGACTTTCCTCCCATCTCTTGGAATGGAATCTGGAAGACAGAAAGTAATCCCGTTTCACTAATCAGTATCGGGTTGTTTTTTCTTCCTTGCAGCATCATATCAGAACTACACAGCAGTATGGGTTGTGACTTTGACGTGGAGCGCAAAATGGCTTTACTAAATAACATGCAGCTTCAGCAGAACTCGCCTGACTTTGACAAAGATAAAGGTGCTGGAATTGTTTTTCTATAGAGCTGTGTCAGCAGGCAAGTTGCACCAGAGGTGGCCCTCTCCTTTAATTTGATTCCCGACCACATTCTCCTTGTCACAGACACCTTTAGTACGTCTGCTGGCCAGAGGTATTTGAGAAAAAGAACTCAGATTCAAAGTACTCGCAGACATAGAGAAAGATAGGAGGAGACATTCACCTTTAACAGGACTACGGATCAAACAGCTGGGCGTGCATGTTGTTTTAATAAGTAATAAGAAAAGGGGTGACTGCGAGGAGTTTCAGCTTACCTTGAAGATAAAGGTCTCATTGAAGACAGGATTGAGCGTTTTCTTGTGAACCTTTGTGTCGTACTTCTTCTTCTTGTCAGGGAGGACGAAGACCTTGACGTAGGGGTCAGAGGTGCCGCCGCTGTCCATGGAGAGCAGATCAGCTGCTTGCAGGATTCCCACAGTCAGCTGGGGAGGCAGGAAGTACGCCATTAAAAGTCAGTGAGCATTTCTCCAGCTCACGCGCCATCACTATGTTCATTCTCTTGTTTGAATTTTTTTTTATATTTAACTGTGGAAAAAAAACAAGAAAATGTTAAATAAACCACTCAAGTTCTTGCCTTGTTCTCCTGGAAGTCATAATCAATGGAGTACTGCAGCTTCCCAAGCTTTTCTTTCTCCTTCACTTCCTCCTCTTTCTCGTCCCCAGTCAGTCCAGGTTCCACGTCGTCTTCTTCATCATCATCATCCTGTTGTTTCTGCACACGGACAGAAGGGGGAGGGGAGGGGAGGGGGGGGGGGGCAGGCGGCAGAAGAAGAAGAGTGAGAGGGCGTTTCTGAGGTGGCGGCTGTGCTGAACACTAAACCTCGGGCATCAGCAGTCGGGTTAGCCACAGCACCTACCTGCCACTTGCCCACGCTCACCCCGGTGTTACTAGTGCAATCTGTTCATCGATGACCACAGTTGCAACTTGACTTGATTTCACTATTTCTTGGGTGACACCATTTGCTGTTTTCTTTTTTCATGAGCATTACATGTATGTTAAAATCTGCTAAAAGTCTGATGGAATGCAAAACGTTGTAGAAATGCCATTTGAAGAGAACTCTGTGTTATTGTTCAAAGAGTGGAGAGAGAAAGAGTGAGAAACAGAGAGAAACATCAGAATAAAAACAGTCACTATACAGGGGGTGGACAGAAAAACAGGAACACCTTATAATATACTACAAGCTAACACAACAGCCATGCAAAAGCCTCTGGAAGTTCTCCTTTTTCACTCATTAAAATGGTGATTTTCAAACGTTTTCAAATCAATCAATATGACCGTGTAGCTGCCTGTGATTGGGATATTACAGGGGGTGGACAAAATAATGGGAACTTTACATGAAACAGGACTTTGAAGGAACTGCAACGCGGTTACACAGGCAGCTAAACAGGCAGCTACACAAATCCCAAATATGACTCATGCCAAATGACTCATGAGTCACATTAACTTGTTAAAAAAAGTCTACAAAATCGTGTCGGCATATCCCACACAGAGGAATACTGCACAAGCAAAGATGAGCCAAATTCACAAGTAAACAAACTGGAGGACATTATGGGATATTTTCTCAAAAACACCACAAAGTTCAGTCTTTTTGACACAAAAGTGAACACTTCAAACCAGTACTTACTGCAGAGCTATTGCGCTCTATTGCACTATACTGCAAGGCGTTCTTGTTATATTGTCCACCCCGTGTGCAGCATTTCAAACACAAGCTGTCACAAGAAGCAGAGCTGCGAGGAATAGATTTGTGATCCTATCAAACTCCTGACGCAGTGATTCCTGAACACTTTTCTTGAAAAGCTCTGAAACTCCAACTGATAACGTAATCTGTTTGACAAACAATATAACTGTCTGCCGTTCATCTCCTCCTGACATCCCAAAGTGTCATTAATGTGTTTACACTGCTATTGCTGATTGAACTCCGGCCTGATTATTCTAGCGAACTGAATTGCTGGTAAATTCCCCAATTTATTCCAAACAGAGTCCAATTTTTTTCCCAGCTGATACTCAGATGTGAATTATTGTGATTCTTGATGAAGTTCTGGAACAAATATCAGCAGTTTACTGACAGTTAACTGCTCCCGAGATAACTGATGAAGAAGATAAATCAATCTTGCCTTTACATCTCACACCCAGTGACTCTTCAGTCTTTCGTCTCTTTTGGAGGCGGTCGTGACTAATCGAGTTTAAGCAATTTGCTCTGATATGAATAATAAAGTAAACTTTCATTTCTGATAGTGTATGAAGCTGGATAACATCTCAGTATGGCCTACTTTCCTATGGCTGTCTTCTTGAAAAAACACTGATGTCTTCGTAAGACTGGAGGGTCCAGCTACTCACTGATGAGCTGGAAGAGGAACAGGGCACACACACAAATAATACACATACCATCACACCCACTACACACCATACTTTACTGTGCACCCACACACACACACACACACACACACACACACACGCAGACACAGACACACGTTTTCTTACATGCAAGCTCTCATGCATGCTGAAAAACGCACTCTCTCTCTCACACACACACACACACACACACACGCATTCTCACACAATATCCATACATCTTTATTGTCGTAAATGCTTTTCATTCAAGCATGCCAGGCCACACAATGCAGGATCCACGTTTCTTTCTGATGGCAAATGTAAAATGAATTACCTCATAATTTCTGAAGACGGATAAAAGTACATTTTTTTTTAAACCCCTCCGACAAATTTTTATACACGTGTTCTGAGTGAGATGTACACATCCATGGAGGGATCATGCCATATTGAGAATTTCCAGCTGATCTCAAACTTCCAGTGGGGGTTCAAAGATAAAGACATGGTTTGTCTGAATGCATGCCCTTCGGTCAACTCAATGGGGTAAATTGCGAGCTCAGCGCTGAAGTTTTTTTGAAAAGACATACATGTTAAAACAGCCAGTCGATTGTAGCTTTAACTTTGTGTCGACTGAAATCGGGCCGAGTCAAGCGTGGGCAAACATTCTGTCCCACCATTTCTCCTCAGTGAGACCCAAGTGCTTCAGGGAGAGCGGGGGTCGATGACTGTCACCTAGTAATGTCAGCAGCATGGGTCATCCAGGAAAGTTACTCTCAAGTCAAGTTGTGGCCATTCAATGGTACCTACTGCAAGGGAATATGCTGGCCTTTGTCAAGAGACACAAACAGCTTTATCTGTCGTGGAACTCGGAGCGTGTTTGCACAAGTGGGGCGCAGCATGTGAATTTCAGACCCACGTCAATGTGTCTTCGGAGAGAAATTGTTTGCAATGTGTCAATTTTTTGGTTGGGTTGCACAGTCGAGGCCTGTCGTGGTGGAAACACTCTCGGTTAGGTAAAGTTCCAGCTTATTATTTGACAAATATCCAGCTTACCCCTTGCACATGCATGTTAGTGATCTCTAGTGAGTTGCTGAGTGCACTCGTCATTCAAAGGCTCAACCATAGGATGAGTTTCATGTTCATATCAAACCATAGACACTTAAACACGGCTTTGCTCTGTTGTTGTTGTTTTTTGCCAAAAATAATTGCAATCTCTGGATAATCAAGACATAGCAGTTGTTGCGGCATATCACTTCAGTGGACTTTGCGAAGCAGCTAAATCGTTCCCATAGATTCCTCAAGCACCCGCAGCACCTAAGCTTGCAAAAAACTAAGGAAGCCATAGCACTCATTGTCATCATCACTGCAATCCAACCCCTCCAAGCCC